TGAAGTGCTCAGGCTGGGCTCAAACTTGAGATCCTCACCTTTCAGCCTCCAGTGCTGGCACTCCAGGGATATGCCACCAGGCTGGGCTTACATTATGTGTATATCCTGACAATCTTGTAGGGGTCTTCCTTTCCCATGCTGTTATTTTAGGGAAGAGGAAACTGAGGCTCAGAGAGGTGAACTGCCTCGCCTGAAGCTATATGGTTGTTATTAGGAGGGCTGTATCAAAGGGCGTACACTAAGGGAATATACTACACGACCATACCCCAAAGGCATACACTGCACAGGGAATACACTCCACTGCACTACAGGAACATACTACACTATACAACACACAAGATTCCACCTTCTATGAACACTCGTAACATCTAATATTTTAATACACTTTTGTCTAGCTAAATAGTTAGAAGTAAAACACACCACTTTCATCTCCAAATAATTCCTTAGCACTTTAGTGGGAAACACTTCTAAATCTCAGGGACTTGCGAGGTGACAAAGCGATCACGCATTTGATCTTTGCCCACCCTCCCTGTCCCAAGCCCAGAAGTGGAATGTGAGATTTCTGCTCCTTTCACTACTTTAAATTAATTTACTTGGTACAAAGACATAAGCACAAATCTGCCCAATGCATACTAAAAGCCCATTTCTTTACCAAAACACTGAGGGTGCTCACAGCAAAAGTGTGACTCGTGGTAAGAGAAGTAAGACAGAAACCAAGAGCTGGACTTCTGGAAAGAGGCAGGAGACACACCAGCCACGAGTGCCAAGAGTCGCGGCTGTGACCAAGCCTCGGGCAGCTTGCTGACTCCAGTCTTGTGCAGGGTCCCTCACAGGGGACGGCAGAGCTTTACCAGCGCTGCATGTGCTTATGTTAAAGTGGAATACATTTTTATTTATAAAACAAAAGTTGCTAATTTAGGATCACCAAACATCGGGGTGATCAATGTTATGAAAAATAGCAGTAAACCTAGTAGCAGCAAAACAGCGGCCACTTTTTGTGTTTCTATTTTGTCCCTTTTATCACAGCCTATTAATTTTACAAAATGTTGGGTTTCAGTGAGTGCAATATATTTGATCACATTCACTCCCATTACCCTTCCTTATTCCTGTCCCCCGCTTGCTCCCTCCCTCTAGTCTAACAACAGTCTCCCTTCTAGTTTCCTGTATCTTTTTTAGATTCCACATATTAGGAAGAACATGTGATTTTTTTTTTTGGTACCAGAAATCGAACTCAGAACATGTGATTTTTGTCTTTCTGACTGTGGCTTATTTTGCTCAACATGACGATCTCCAGATCCACTCATTGTCCTACAAATGACAAAGTTTCATTCTCTTAATGGCTAAATGATATTTCACTGTACATATGTATCTGTGTCACACTTTCTTGATGCATTCATCTGTTCTGGGCACCTAGGCTGGTTCTATATCATGGCTATTGTAAATAGTGCCACAATAAACATGGGTATGCATGGGGAGTCAGTTCCTACAGTAACTGACTTTAATTCTTCCAGGTATATACCAAGGATGTATAGCTGGATCAAATTTTACTGGTGTACCAGGAATGGTGGTATATACCTATAATTCCGGCACTCAGGGAGGCTGAGGCAGGAGGATCTCAAGTTTGATCCCAGCCTGAGTGACTTACTTACTTACTGAGACTTTGTCTGAAACAACAACAACAACAACAACAACTAACACTACTAATAAAAGAGCTGGGGATATAGCTTAGTGTGAAGGCTCTGGATTCAATCCCCTGTAAAACACACACACACACACACACACACACACACACACACACACACACAATCATGTTCATCAAGTTGCTCATAAAATGACAGGCTTTATGTAAGAACAAAAAAAAGTGCCACTACTAGGTATAATGAGGAGGATACACCTAGGCTTTATTTCTATAGTATCCATGTAACTAATGGCTGGGTCCTGAAACTGGAAACTGAGCCTTTTCTTTGCTTCTCCTCCCATGGAGTTAGCACAACACACAGGGGCTAAAAACACCAAAATGCCTCAAATGCAGACAATGCTGTATAAACGTTCTCGGCTTTCCTCCCTTGGACTTGGAAACTTCCACGGTCATCAGTCACTCTTCAGTGCTAACGCGCTCTCTGCTGTGATGAGAGTTTTATACGTCACATCGAACGACAGGCCTTGCTTAATGATGAGCTGTGTTCTGAGGACCAAGTGTCAGGTGACTCCGTAACTGTGTGACACCATGAGGTGTTCTCACGCCAGCCTGAGTGGTAGCGCCCGCTACACATCCGACCATGTGGCTACAGCCTCCTGCTCCCGGGCTAGAAACCTGTCTGTCCATCACGTCACTGTACTGAATACTGCAGGCACTTGTAACACAAGGTAAGTAAGTGTTTAAACACATCGCACACTGAAAAGGTACAAACTATGACGCCCCTGGAAAATTTGAGCTTCTTTATCATCTTATGGGGCAACAATCTTGCATGTGGTCTATCCTGATTGAAACGTCTTTATCAGCATGTGACTATAACTACATAAATGTCACATTTTCTGCTGCTGAAGGACAGCAAGAAGCTGCAGAACCAGGAAGACAGGGAGAAATGGCCCACAACATTATGGTTAAATGTGTCCACGCCAAGGGAGCCCCTGCCCCATCCCGCCTGGCGCTCTCAGGCCCCAAGCTCACCGTTTCTGTCCCTGATTTGGAACTTGACCATTAGTCACCCGGGGAGTGGGGGTGGGGTCGGGGATGCCACTAGGAACTGTGGGAGAGCAAGAGGCATCAGCCTTGGCCACAAGTGGAAAACAAACAGAAAATGTCAGTGGGCAAGGCAGGGATCACGTGTTGGTCAATGTTCACTTGTGCACCCGCAGAGCTTCCTGGAGTGCCAGACAGGCAGAAGGGACAGCAGCTCTTCTCTAAACTGGGGAGCTTTGTGGTATCAGCTGGAATCTAAGAACGGAACTCCAAAATCCTGATCTAAAATGGTGTCTGAACCCTCTCATTAATAGAGGGTTAAACTGAAGTGCCTGTAGGGTTTTTCTTTTTTGACACAATGTTAGATGGTATTTAAATACAGGAAGTGTTGGTGGCCCACTTCTGGGTGAAGGCATGGCTACTGTGCAGAGGTCCCAGGCTTCTCTCCTGCCAGCTGTTTGCTGCCCCCTCTTTCCACCTTCCCTGGGAACCTTCTTCTGCTTCTTCAGCAGCCCGCGTGGCCCCATCCCCACCTTGGCGGTCAGACCCCTTCTAAAGAGTGATCCCAAGTGATAAGAGGAAGTTTGCTCCTCCCACCTCTGAGACACCAGGGCAAGCCCTACAAGACAGCTCACTGTATTTACTGCTAAGCTGTTTGAGCGGTAATGCCCAGTGCAACCCAGTCCCCACAGCATGCCCACCTACCCCCATAGAGCCTAATGGGTGATCTGATCAGCATGGACTCTGGGTAGGATCTATTTCATTTCAAAAAGGTCAAGCCTACACTTCTTAGAAACTGAAAGACCTATCTGTTTAAGTTTTATTTTCCTCAGACTGAGAAAATATATCCAAAAATGGAAACTTCTCCTTTTTTGTATGGTGCTGGGTTTTGAACACGGGTTTCCATGTGTGCCGGGCAGGCACCCTACCACTGAGCTACACCCCATCCCAACTTCTCCTTTTGTTATAAACTGGACATTTAAGTCTCCCAGAACCACATCTCACACGTCGGGCAAGGGCCTTTTGTACACAGTAACGCTGAGCTTAAACCTTGCAGTAGCTTATCATCTTGTGGATGAAATCTAGCAAGACTGCTTATAGACTTTATTAACCACTAAAAGTAAAACTAAGAGTGAAACTGAATGGTTCCAACAAGTATTACTGGTATTCACTCAAAACCTACACTTTATTTCTCTGAGGCTGAGCTGGCAGGAATTACCTGGCAGATCAGATAATCACTGAGTGTTACTAAACAGAACAGTGTTTCGTCTTCTCTTTTCTTCTACACGGGTGACACAAACTTCTTCTAAATGGCCTGGGCGTGTGTCCCCTTGTCAGGGAGACAAATGCGAGGGAACAATTCCTCTAATGAGCTGAGGGCTGGGCTGCACCACACACCACGCCAGAGCCAGACAATGGGTGTATCCTCTAAGGACAGGGCAGGGCTGAATACCTACTTCCCTGACAGCAAGCTCAAACATAAAATAATTATTTGTGCACCGGCCCTCCACAACTTTGTTTTTATCCAATAATCCTAAAATGCACCTTTACCTACTTAGGAGAATATTTGGAAATCAGTGTTTCCAGGCAGCTTTACCGGAAAGCTGATGCTGCTTAAGCCCACTTCCCTCGTGGGGGTGTTATTGGCATGTGTTAATGGCTGTCTGGCGTCATAATCATTTCAGAACTTTCACAACTAAAACAGAACCCAGTTAGCTCTGGACTTGTAAAACTGATCCAACATTTTCAAAGCCAAGTTCGAGCCCTGCCCCAGGAAAGCCAAGGCTTTCTCTGCTTTCCTCTTAGCCCCCTCACGGCCACCTCCTACAGAAGAAGAACCTGATAAGAATCAAGGTGAGTCTTCAGTGAGTACTTGGTGAAGTACAAAATGTACCACATAAGGATGTTATCTTTCCCTCTTCCTCAGGCTACCAGGAAACTTAAAGCCACACTCAATTACAGAAATCTTGTAGGCCTTTCTAGCTTGCATACTTCAGTTCTTTTTTCTCTCTCAAATTTTTGTTCTTATGTTTTCCCTGGTTCCAATTTTTACCTTATTTGCTGCCATTATTATTATTATTATTATTTTATTATTATTATTATTTTCGTTAGCAATCTCAAGTCCACTGTGAAACAGACCAGGGCATAAAATACAAACATGCGTTCCTACAGACACAAACCAAGGCGGCTCTTACTATGCTCCTGCCGTGCTCCGCCCCATGCAAAGGTCCTGCCACAGACCCGGCCTGCTCTTGACTCCCCTTTCAGCTGGGAATCTGTTCCTCAGGAGAGTTGATAAAAGCACCAGCACCCTTACTTGTGTCCTTGGAGTTCGATAGCTGTTCCTTTCCTCCCACCGATGTCCCACATGATGACAGAGTGGTCAGAACTGCCTGAGAACAACACTCGCTGGACTGGGTCCCAGCAGAGAGCAGTCACCCCACCTGAGAGGACAGACACAGCCGGGCATTAGTCACGAGGCAGCAACGTCACTCAACAACACAGTGGGCGTGCAAAGGACCGAGGGCCAGTGTACTTGCTGGCACACAGCAACTCTGCTTGAAAATAAGTCCTGAAAGAAAAAAATTGGCTGGAGAGTAAAAAATCCCACTTTTTATGCATTTCCCCTTAAACTGAATGGACTATAAAATCAATTACTATAAAGATCACAGAGAAATGAAAAAAGACAATTCACTGACCTTCAAAAAACAGACACAATTCTGAGAAGAATGGAAAATATTGCACTATTTGGAAATATTAACCACATTTTCTTAACTGCTATCTATCTCCTACCCTAACGATAACAGATGACAAGTAAATGGAGCTTAAAAGTACTCAACTTGATTTTCTATTTCTTTCTGCATATATAATCATAGTACGTACACAGTGCACCAAGAAAATGTATACACAGTTCAGGAAAAGAAAAACAGTATGATGTTTTCTTAACAGATGATGTTATTCCTGTATGGGAGCCCCTAGAGGATGTCATGTATCACAAAAAACCCACTACACTGCCGGCCCTTAGAGGAAAAACTGAAAATGCACATGTGGCAATCTCAATGACCAAGATTACCAAGCAGCAGTTCACCGTACTAGTGAATGTCTGGAAGCCAACGGCCACCACTTTGAGCACCTCTTGTACTTGTAGAGGCCAAAGGTAACTTGTATTACTCCCATGATGTCTCAATAAATTCACTGTATTAAAATATTGATAGAAGTTTTTCTTTTCTTGAAGTGTGTATACATGTTTTGCTGGGCCCTGTATGAACGGGGTACAATGTGATGGTGCATTACAAGCATGCATTGTGCAATGATCAAATCAGAGCAGTTAGCATATACATCTCCTCAAAGGCTTATCATTTCTTGTAGGAACGTTCAACATCCTTTCTTCTAGTTATTTGGAGATATACAATACCATGCTGTTAACCACAGACCATCCTACAGAGGCCAGGCATGATGGTGCACGACTATAATCCCAGCACTCTGGAGGCTGAGGCGAGAAAGAGGACTACTGCGAGTTCTAGGCCAGCCTGGACTACATAACAAGTCTCTCAAAAAACCAAATATAAACAAACAAAATACAGTCATCCTACAGTGCAACAGATATAAACAAACAAAATACAGTCATCCTACAGTGCAACAGAAAGCCAGCACTTATTCTGTTTCTAGTTGTAACTTTGTACCCACTGACCACCACCTCCCACCCCAGACAGTCTTTGGCATCACTCTTCTCTCCACAACTTCTAGATCTCATATGAGTGAGATCACGTGGTACTTCTGTCTGTGTCTGACTTACTTCAGTTAACATAATGTTCTCCAAGTCACCCATGTTGTCCACAAATTTCATCCCTTTTAACAATAGAACAGTATTACACTGCAGATATACCAAATTTCCTTATCCATTCCCCAGCTGACTGACATTTACATTGCTTCCATTTCTTAGTCACTGTAAATAGCGCGACAATAAACACAGAAGTATAGTTACCACTTCAACACACTGACTTTACTTCTTCTGGATATATACCTAGGAGCAGGGTGCCGGATCATATGATGATTCTGTTTTTACATTTTTTGAGAGGCCTCCATGTTTTCCACAATGGCTATACCAACATTCCCACCCACAGGCGAAAGGGTTCCTCTCCACATCCTTACCTATATTTGTTACCCCCCCACCCCTTTTTAAAATAAAAGCCATTTTAACTCAAGGGCAGTAAGATCTCATTGTGGTTTTCATTTACATTTCCCAGATTAGTGACGTTGAGCATTTTTTCTTCACAAACCTGTTGGCCATTTCTATGCCTTCTTTTGAGAAATGTCTATTTTAGGTTTTTTTTTATTCTGAACATCACGTAATATTAGGGCACAATATCAGAATTATGTTTCTCTTTGGGAATTTGACTGTACAGACTCTTCACAAATCACTTACATCCTTGAGTATCAGTATCCTTAACTATATAAGGGGGATGAAGGTAATACTGGCGCTCTGGCCACTACAACCATTACTGCTGAGGAGATCAAACTAACCATTACCTGCTGCGTAAGACTGGTGAGAATCAGATTAATCACATAGGCCCACTCTGTAAGCTACAGTGTGCTGTACATATATTGGCTATTGGCATTATTCTACTGGTATGGCTACAAAATATTATGACAAGTTTTCTTCTATGGTACTGCCCTGATATCAAACTCCTTGTGTAAAGAGAGCAGTAAGTTTTTTCCTATAAGATGAGCACAGAACCTCTCAATGCTTGTGAATTTCAGAAATACTCATTGTTTACATTACTGAAAAATATTACATTTCAAGAAGAATATAAAATAGCTGATTTGTTGGAATCTGATATTTAAAAAAGCTAGATGATCAATTTGTTTGAATGAAGTGTTTAAAATCTTTTAGAGAAATTTCTCTCGTAATTGTCTCAGAAGATATTTTTAAGACCAAAAGGAAAAAGAAAACTCACTATTCTGGCTCATGTGTCCTAGCTGCTTCCAGTACCTGCACAGCGTTCTGTTCATGTAATAAAAACCATACCTCGGGCTGGGGATTTAGCTCAGCGGCAAAAGCGCCTGCCTGGCAAGCGCAAGGTCGTGAGTTCGGTTCCCGGTACCGGAGAAAAACCAAAAAAAAAAAAAAAAAAAACCATACCTCCCTGGGGCTGACGTGGCTGATCCCCTCCTATGGCTCCCAGGCCTCACTGCCTTCCACCACCCTCTACCCCACGGCAGCAGAGCGGCGGTGCACAGCCCCCAGCGCTGTCTGCTGACTGAGGAAGGAGCAGATGAATAAAAACCACAGAAACCCTCGCAAGTCCCCGCCTCAGTGCTGCTTCCCCAGAGACACCTCCCTTCACTACTCTCATTATTCTCCTCCTTACTGGTTTTACTTGTGTTTTTCCAAACTGGCTGTCTACTGCTCTAGTAGAAGCTTCTGGAAGTCACTGCAGCATCTCCAGTGCTGAGAATTCTCCCTGGCCTACAGCAGGTACTCAAGAAGCATGTACAAAAGAGCAAATAATTGAACGAAGGAGTGAAAATGTAAGCCAATGTCCTTGTCCTCGTTCCTAGCAGACAAAGCAGGTATGACAACCCTTTGCTGGCTGACTAGGGTTGTTGATGTGGTGATGCCTTCTATTCTGCTTTTAGTCAGGGAACACTCACCTCAAGGACAATCTCTGAGCTGGTCTTACTTTACTAGAAAACACTAAGATTAGGAGGACAGATAAAAGAAAAGTGCTTTCCCCCCACAAAACATGCAAAATGGGTAGCTCAGGTTTTCCATCACATCAGATGTAAATAATGGTGGGCACTGGCAGAAAGAATCGCTACAAAGATATAACCAAATCGAAGACTTCCTTGGAGGGGCTCTCCATCCTGTCAGAACCAGCATGGAAATACTGTGTCTCACGACGGAGCCTTTGTAGATACGTGGGTGTACGGTGTGGGTTGGGGGGACTGTAAAGGTTATCGGCTGTAAAGGTGTCTGGCTGGGATTCAGCTCGGGATAGAGGCTATGACTTCCTGGCGCTTGAAAGGTTACACATCAGAGCTGAAGCACTGACCTCAAAACATTACATACTATCTCAGTTGTGTTACGCAGATTACTCTTCTGCATATCCTCCTCTCAGAGGTGATTTCAGGCCTCCTGCCTAGCCCAGCTCATGGCCCTCACCTACTTCCCTCAGTTCTCACACTCATCCTCAAGCCACGCCCTTCTTCACAAATGAATACAACCCAGGTTCGGCCCTAGGCTGAGGCCTTTGTTCCAGTTAGCCATCATAACACCTGCACTTAGGTTCTCCTGGCTCCCCATACCTACAAGTATGTCTTAGTGTCTTATTCTCACCATGGGTGGCACTGAGAGTGGTAGACTGGAATTAACTCAACACAATTCCAACAACTTTTCATGGGATTACAAATATAAACTTCCTGGGCTGTGACAAGGACTGGGAAAGGCTCTCTGTAGGGTACGCCTTTCCTAGTGTGATCAGCTCACAGCCTGGCATCACAGCCTCAGGAGCAGGCAGACAGGCTAACACGTGACTAGAGGACAGCCTAGCTCAGTGCTCAGCCTCCGAGTCTCTTAAATAAAAGCCTTTGCTTCTTAACATCTCAGTCACTACCTTTTGCTCTAGGTTGAAGTGGCACCAGGGGCTTATGTGAAGCTGAATGTGCTCCGCCTCTAGGCTACCGCTCTTTCTCCTTAATACTCTTCCACCTTGGGAAGCCTCCCTTTGAGCAGGGAGGGCCTCTTGTTATCTACCTCTGAGTGGCCTGGGTGTGGCATTAAGGCCTTCACAGCACTTGCTATCTGAGTAACGTCTGTAATCAGTGGCCCAATGTGTATTCCACAGTGGACGGAAGCTGAGTAAGGCCCAGATCGCGTTTGTTTACTTGACTGAATTGATGGGTAGTTGCATCTGCTGACCTGCTCTGCATATTAACTGCATTTGTGTACAAGCCTCCATTGTAAACAACTATTAAGGTTCTTAATTTAATTATGTGAACTTGCAGATGTGCCCCGAACTTTATTGGTTTGTGTAGTTATTTTTGTTTAGTTAATACTGTTCCTTCTGATAACTGTCCTAACAGATAATGAATAAGGCTGCATTTAATTTTTCATTAATTACAATGCTTTGGCAGATTTACAGTCAAGCCCTCCTGTTTTCAATATGTTCCTATTAATAAAAAATTATTTGAAATTAAAAAAAGATCTTATTGATGCTGTTAATTTCCAGTGGTCAAATAAAACTTTCCTTATTTCATTCAAATGAGTTTATGGCTTCTAGTACAAATACATTCTAATTTCTCCAAGATAGCAAAGAGCCATGAGACATGGCATCTAGCTCCAGAAAGAAAACCAGCAGAGGGAGCACAGGAACATAAAACGAATTTCCTAAATCCCTACAGATTAGGAGAAGTTGTTTTGGCCTCCAGGAATGACTGTTAGGCTGATTCCATGACTAACCCACACTTTGGTATGGCCCTCTGTATTACAGGACAGTGGCAGGGTAAGAGTGATGGCTCTACCCGCATACCAAGGCTTATCTGCGTCTGCATTTGGATCTGGTTGATGAGACCCCCCCAGACCAGTATTTAATGGACATGAGTTTACTTTAGGGTCTTTGTTTCGCCTCTACAAAAACTCCTTTCCTAGCATTGTGTCTGGCTGGGTTGGGAACCCAGGGCCCAGAATGAGACACAGGAAAAACTTAACAATACGTTTGAATGATCACGGAATCTTTTCGTGTCCTTGCTGAATCTTTCAATGAACAAGCTGAGCTGCAGCCAAATTCTAGGTGGGTAGATAATATTCTCTAGGAATGGCAACAGTTAAATACAAGAATTTCACTGCTTCACCCGGCTTTGTGCTAGTGACCTTCCTGAGTCATGTCCTATCTGCCTCAAAGATATTTCATGATGAAAATGCTTTCAGCTCCTTGAGAAAGATAAGACCCACTGCAAAGTAATATCAGAACAAGCCTGCAAAACATGAGGCCTCTGAATCACATCTGGCTGACAAAATAACGGTGTGAAGTAGCTCCTTAGCCCTTAGTAACACAGAACTCAGGATTCCTAAAGAGTTAAGGGGCAGGCCAAAAGCCACTTCTGCCGAAATCAAATCTGGGGACTGTCTGAGAGGGACGGTGGGAGGGATCGAGACGGACAGAGACAGACAGGGACAGAGACTGCTGAGACAGACAGAGAGCTGTGCCCACCTGCTGAGCTAGCTCTCTGCATATACATGGTACGTATCAGCACGGGGGATGGTGCCTGGGACCTTGTCCACATTAGGTACCACTACGTCGCAGGGCCACATCCTCAGCACTAATCGTGATTTTTTTTTGCAACCTTCTACATGTTCCTCCTTGCTTTCCCATCGCTAGCATCCCATTTCAAGGGATAGTTTCCTATTAGCTTTTGAAGCACACTCATTACCACAGAGCAATCTTTTCCGGTCTGCTCAGGCTAACTTCTTTGCTTCCAACTCTTCAATAGTTTCTCACAGACTTCATAATAATGGCTGAGTTCAGCCTCCAGGGTCTGACGTGACTCTTGCTTCCTTTATTAGGTGGCTGCCCCGCCACTCCCTCCTCCTTCCTCCTGCCTAGGGTTCTAACTGAGAGAGAGACAGAGACAGACCGAGACCGAGACAGACAGAGACTGCTGAGAGACACAGAGCAGTGCCCAGGACTGCCGTGGCCTTGCGTGTTTCCGTGTGACTTGAATCACGCTGATTTCCTCCACCTGGCCTGCTCTTCCCGCTTCTGTGCAGGTCAAACAGCACCTCCCACGGGAACGTTCCCGACTGCTTCCTGTCTCCTTCCAAGCAAATCCACCACTCTGGGTTCCTAGAAGAGCTCGGCGCTTGCTTCCTCTGCCTTTGCTGCATGTCATTATTACAGTGCAGCACACGTCTCACGGGGCTGTAAGAGTTTGCGAACAGTGACTGTGCCTTTCACTTCTGTGACAGAGGGAGCAGCTGAGCTCCACCACGGAGAGCACAGAGTGCAAGGAGAAGAGGATGCAGAGGACACGTGGCTCCTCTGAGAAGCAGCAGGGGAGGCGCGCAAGGAAAACTGGGAGAGGCATTTCACAGAAGCAAAAGGAGGGCAGGGACAGAAAGAGTGGTCACAATGTCAAATGCTACTGAAAGGCTGAGTGTGACAAAGTTTCAAATGTGTCCCGGCAGGCCACTGGTCACCTTGGGGAGAGCAAGTCAAGTAGGGCAGCAGACACAACCGAGACTGCAGGGTACTGACGGCAAGTGGGAGGTGAGGCCTGAAACGGTGGGAAAGTCTTACTCGTCTAAGGAGCATCTGCTTGCTATGGTCTGAAAGAACCTTCAAGAAATGGCTGCAGAGCGAAGTAAGCCAGTTACAAGTGGGTAAGTACCGTATGAGTCCACTCATAGGACGGACCCAGAGCAGTCAGATTCACGGCAACAGGAAGCAGAAGGGCGGCTGCCAGGGGCCAGGGACAGAGGGTATGGTCCTGCCCAAGGCAGAGAGTTGCAGTTTCACAAGACGAAAAATGTGCTGTGATGAAACACGGCGCCTATGGCTCTACAAAACGCACAAATTCACAATGTGAATATACTTAATGCCACAGAACAGGCTTTTAAAAATGGCTGCAATGGCAAATTTCATGTTTTGCACATTTTACACTTTTTTTAAGGTAGCCTAGGAACTGTCGCCATAGGACACAGGATTGAGATGATTTTGGTTTTTGTTCTCAACAGGGAGGTAAGAAATTTAAGCCTGTGAATAAACTGAGAAGAATCAGCTAGTCAACAAGGAGACAAATGGAATCTATTTTGAGCAGAATTAGCTGGGGTCAGAGGAAGGTGGTTCCTGCACTGAGATGTGGAAGGGACAGAGAAAAAGATTGTTTGGGTAGGAGAACATAGAATGGGCCAGAACATTTTTAAGTGATACTAGGGATTGAAGCCAGGGGCATTCTACCACTGAGCTGTGTTCCGACCCTGCCCCCACTTGAGATAGGGTCTCACTACTGTAGTTCAGGCTGGCCTTGAACCAGACTGGCCTCCAACTCATGGTGATCCTCCTGCCTCAGCCACCCAAATGCTGGGATTATAGGCATGCGCCACCACGCCCAGTGTTCCTTGCTCTTCTAAAAAAATTATTTATTTATTTATTTATTTATTTAGTCTTTTTGAGACAGTGTCTTACTATGCAGTTCAGGCTGGCCTTGAGCTCCCTTTGTAGCCCAGGCTGGTCTCCAACTCGCAACAATCCTTCTGCCTCATCCTCCCGAGTGCTGGGATTACAGGCGTGTGCCACCATGCCCAGTTGCCCTTTTTATTTTTTATTTTGAGACAGGATCTTGCTAAGTTACCCAGGCTGGCTGAAGTTTCCTGCCTCAGCTTCCTGAGTAGCTACAGTTACATACGTATCCCACCATGCCTGGCAAGAAATAAAACATTTTAAAAAATAAAGCTGGTAGCTTTGGAGGCAGCAGCTGGGGACTGGCGAAGGAGCGTACTAAGCACAGGTGGAGGGGTTACGAGGCAACTCTGAGTCCCTGAAATGATGATGCTGGTCAAAGTCTCATGGAAGCACGACTTACAGACACAGCAGCTGGGGACACACGGAGAGAAGGCAGACGGAGTGAGCCTGAATCTCAGACTCCGAGCTGCACCAAGACTCCTGATCAGAGATGCTGACATGACACGCACTGGGAGGAGAGGGAACACTAGGGCCAAAACAACGGGGAAACGGGAGGACAGAAGATGGAGTTCAGCCGGGGAAGAAGAATTTAGGCAACTGAAAGATGAGGAGATTAAGTCAACAGTGAAACACAGAATTTTAAAGATTTCTTAGGTGAGACAATTGCGGCCCTTTTCAGGCCCAGGCTTGGCCAAGGTAGAGTTGTCTAAAAATAAACACAGTGAGGAAAGACTGGGTTCCTACCCACAGGGAAGGTTTCTATGAATTCTTCCTAAAGGCACAGATCATTAAAGTGATCTTTTATGAATCTTTTCCCTGGGATTTAATTTTTCCTTTTCTGCATGCTTCTTACCCCAGAATTCTATCTCTGTCCTGTTGGAACTCTCTTAGGATTGCATTGGGACTATCCAATTCAGCATCCTGCTCCCCTGCTTTGGTTCCTACATGGCATACAGCCTGAGTATCACCCTGTGCTGCACCGCATGATGGATCGGTGGTCTGCAGAAAACAAAGCGCCCATGAAGGACCGTGAAGACAGGTAACGGTTAGTACCCTTTGAGTAACATTTTCCTTAGTCAGTGCCACGTGCGCAAAGTACCGGTTAATCATCACCTTGTACCCAGGTCTTTCAAAAGCTAAGAATGCTTATTTTACATCACTTTGCTTAAATGACCCTAAACAGATCAGTAATATAAAGCAGATCTTGGGTCAAAAACTGACAAGGGCTCAAATGGAAGGGAATACGAACTTGTCCTTTTTCATGTACTGTAGCTACCCATGACGAGCGTATTTTTCATTTGTTTCAGATGTGGAAATCACTCTTGCACAACATCTTTTCACTCCAACAATGACGACAGACCCAGGCAGCTGTCCTTTTGGCCTTCTGGAGTTTGAACAGTTACCACACGCTGCAATAATGTCCCATTAACATATGCCCACTGGCTTTCTCTAGTGCAATCTAAAAAGAACTAAATCATTAACATTTTCAAAACAGATTGGTTCCTCTTTTGTCTGGATTATGGAGTTGTTTGTTTCTTTGTTTTTTCAGTACTGGGGATTGGGCCCAGGGGCATTCTATCACTGAGTTACATCCCTGGCCCTTTTTAAATTTTGAGACAGAGTCTCACTAAATTGCCTGGGTGACACTAGAACTTGCACTCCTCCTGCCTCAGCCTTCCTTAGTACTGGGATTACAGGCACGTACCACCATCTCCAGTTTAGAGAAAAAACTGTTGACATCATTTCTTACTGAGCCATTCTGAAATCAGTTAAGTATGCCACCTGTATCTTTGCACAAGCACAAGCTATATTTTGCCACTTTAAGAACATTTCACCTGAACATCAGAACACATAGTGAGCAAAAGTGCACTGCGATGTCAGCGCACCGTGATTCTGGTTTGAACCCTACCTGTGTGTCCTCTGAACGTTGTGACCAGTGTGCAGCTCTCTTGCTCCAGTTTGAGGATTGTTACTTGGCCTGAGTGGTCACCGATAAACACATGCCGGGTTTCAATATCAAATCTGTCATGTAAGCATTAAGGATTGTTTCTTAAAATTGAAGGGGAAGATTTACAATACGAAAGAAAACAGCAAAAATGTAACAAATGTGCAAATCCCACAGTAGGAGAATTTGAAGAAAGTGCTAAAAGATACAAAGATAGGTTTAAGAAAATAAAGGCCACACCGTATTATTGGACACTAAGCGTCAATATGACTAAGATGTCACTTCTTAGTACATTAATTCATAAACTTAATATAATCCCAATAAAGCATGAACAGTGTTTCTAACGCTGGTGTGTGCATTCCAAAGGTCAAAAGGAAAAATGAATAAGCAAGAAGGGCCAAGAATACTTTGAAAATAAGAATAACATGGTATGGAGCAAGGGAAGCTACCATATGAGATGATAAAACATGTTAAAAGTTTCTTTACTTAAAAGTATGGTATTGGTGCAAGTACATACACTAATAGAGAAGAATGTAAAATCTAGAAATAGACCACAAAGCACACAGAAACCTAGTACGTATCTGGCAAAGGTAGCTCTTCAAATGAGTACAAAAGATGGATTTAAAAAGTGCTGTTGGCACAAACTAGATGGCTACTTGGGGAAAAAATTGGGATCTGTATTTCATATTGTGTACTTGAGTAAATTCCAAGTAAAATAGGGATTTACATATAGGAAATGAAAACGCAGGTAGCTCAGTGTTAGGGCACTTGAATAACACATGCAACTCCTGGGTCTGATCCTCAGGACAAGCAGCAATGAGGAGGACGGGGAGGAGAAGCAGGAGGAGGAAAGCATGTAAGTTCTAGAGAAGTGAATTTTTTTTTTTTTTAAGTTGGAATGGAAACGGTATACCAAAACCACAAACAACAAATACTATAGGGAAAGCCAAAAGACAAAATGGAAAACAAGATTTTTTTTCAGCTTATGCCACAAAGGGTCCAGATTCTTAATACTAAAAATAAAAAAAAAGCAATTAAGGTGAAAAAGATCATAAATCTAGTAGGAAATGGGCAAAATTTGGACTATGAATGGACAGTTCAAGAGGAAATGAAAATGGTGCTATGCAAAAAGAAAGAAGGAAAGAAAGAAAGAAAGAAAGAAAGAAAGAAAGAAAGAAAGAAAGAAAGAAAGATAAACAATTTAACATGGCTAGCCTGGCTGTTCTCCTTGGCAAGGATGCTTACAAAGCTGGCCTAGTGTCTGGGAACCTGAATTTCTGGAGGGTTCCACCATTCAGGATAATAATGTCTCACCTTGCTTTATGTATACAAACAATAAGGCTTATGCTGAGTACCTGCATCCCTGTGGGAGTCTAGGATTTTGTACACGCCAGGGGAAACTGCCTACATGACCAGCCCTCATTAAAACTCTAAGTACTAAGTCCTAATGGGCAGTTTTGGTCAACAGCATGTACTAATCCTATTTCTAGAGAAATACACATGTCCAAGGCTATTTATTTTGCATTGTTTCAATAGCTAAATTTTGAAAATAGACCACAAGTGCATCAGTAGGGGACTTTTGAGTTGACTATGCTACACCAACACAATAGAATAGTATGCACCTGAAAAAGAAGACTTTTGTACATCAACATGGAGTTATTATCAAGAGAGATTATTAAGTGTGTGTACATGGGGAAGCCAACAATCACGAAAATTTATGAGCTGTGCTACCTTTATGTAATAAAGGGAGGGAAACAAGTGTGTGTGTGTGTGTGTGTGTGTATGCACTAATATTTAGAAAAGGGAACACCGATGATCCAACAAAATGGCTGCCCATAAAGGAATGGATAAACAGGTAAAGCTCAACAAAGTGTAACTATATGTAGTACGGATCTTTTCTACACTCCATTTCAAACACATCCACTGCAAAAACTCACTCACAAAACAATAGCAAAATTTCAAAATGGACTGAGTGTTCAACAACAGTCAACGACTACTAATTTCCCGGTGTAATAACAGCATTGTGGTTACTGAAAAACGATTTATGTATTTTAGAGGTGCACAATGAGGTAGGTAAGGATGAGACACACTAAGGTATGGACTTTGCTTTAAAATACTCTAGCAAAAAAGGAATAGAAGAAACAGTAGACATGGTTGACAGGTATATGAGCACCTATTATAGTATTTTCTCCAGTTTGGTGCATTTTTTGAAATTTTTCATAATAAAAATTAAAACAAATTATAGAATAAGACATAAAAAGTTATATTTTTCTAACAAGTTATCAGACATATGTAGTTTAATACCAACATTTATAAGGAAAAAAATCATCTGAAATTTATCTTGATTAATTATAAGAACAAAGATAAAGAACCTGATTCAATCCGGGACTCAACAGTCTTTTAAAAATTGCAAGTAAATTACAGTATCCTCTAAAAATAACAATTCAACAAAAGCTACTTGGAGGGTTGAAATAAAATGATAGTAAAACCTCAAGGCCAGAGAGATTGACATTAAATATGATATGAAAAAGATAATCTCAATACCCTTTCAGATCTCTTTACCTGACTAGAAATAAATCTAAGTGATTACATTCAGTGGAAAGACATTTCACAGTATAGGATGACATTTTGGAAATATCTAATTTTGAAGAAAAATCCTAAAATTAAAGAGTATCTGAATTACTTTTGTGGAAACATAAAAAAATATGATCAAAACGTGGGTAACTAAAAAGATATTAACCAAGGAGATGAGATAAGGCCTTCACTTTTGTAAAGTAAAGCAAGTGAAGTAGGGAAGAGAAACATTTACTCCTATTTTCTACTACCAACCTGCCACAGGGCCTTCGGGACATACCACCAATCTACTTGTGCAGAGGACCAGTCAAAACATTTTAATACTCAAGTTCTAGTCCTACTTTTGCCAGGTTTTCCTTGTGGCTTCAAGCTTCTGAGCCTCAATGGGCCTTGGTTACTATATATGAATAGAAAGTTAGGTTATTTCATTTTTACTACATTTTACTGCTTTGATAGTGAAAGAAGTAATGTATATAAAGGCATTTCATGAATTCTGAGGGACTTCAGATATAAGACACTTTTTCCCTTTTCCTCTCTTTTTATTATTGTTATTCTTATTGTTAGGGGTCATGTAATACTTCAGGCTTGAGCTCTATAGTGAAATAACCAAATACTTTCAGGATATTCAGAAATTGGTAGTTTTAATTGTGAACTGGTTGATCTGTTTGTCTTCCTTTGTATCTGAGTCTCAGTTACTTTTATTGCATATTTACTTCTCCACTAAGAGGTCTGAAAGAAAAAAAGGCTAATTCAATTTGATTTATTCTTTCACTTGGATAAATGGACAGAATTGTTTATTGTGGAGGACTCCATACTACTAGCTGTCCACCATGAAGACAAAGAGAGGTAATGCTCTCACTCTGAACATTTCCACTGTGACATCAAACCTTTCTCCTCCTTTCATCAATTACAAAACTCTGGAAGAATACAGGGTGGCAGGAAGAAAAGGTGTGTGCGTGTGGAGGCTCCTGCAGAGGAACATATTTAAAAGCTAGATCTACAGGTGAACCCTAATACTGCAGTGGCTTGCCTATGAGCAATCTATTAGCAAACGCCCAGAAAGGCTCCTTGGAAAAGTCACATGGTTCTTGGCTGAAACCCTCTGGTAAAAGTGCAGAGATGTCCATGCCATCAGGGGTTAGCACTGGAAAAATACTCAGGAACAAGGAGTGGCATGGTGGTACCAAAGCTAGCAAGCAAGACAGGGCTAGCAAGACAGGGCTCATGGGATCTGGGAAATCTGCAATGGCCTGTCTATAGGGGTACAGTTCCCTCTGCCTCCCCTCTGCCTCCACAGCAAGGGGGATGGATGGTCGTGTAGCCTGGAAACAGAAGCCTAGACACACACACACACACACACACACACACACACACACACAGAGCCTTCTGATAGCAATAATATAATTTTCTGCTTGGTAAATCATATAGCATGGCCAAAAGAAATAGTCACAAAATGAGGATGACTTCTGCAACTCACAGCTATAATCTTATACGATACTGGTGCCACGAGTCTGTTCTCAAAGAGGCAGTGCAGCACAGCGGGGAGGAGAGGTATCCAAGGGAGAAGACGGGTTCTGGTGGGGATTTTCCTGTCTAGCTGGGTGACCTCAGAGAAGATAAGGGACTATTTCTGGGCTTCAGCTGTCTCAACTGAAAAATGAGGTGGTTAAAGACTGAATTTTTGAAAAAAAATTTAATTAATGAAGACTGTATATATTTGAGGTATATAACATGCTGATTCGATATATGTATAGATTGTGGAATGATCAGCACAATCAAATTAGTTAACACATTTATCACCACTGATAGCAACCACCTTTGTGGGGTGAGGGTAGGGAAGACTGATTGTTTATGCCCGTCTCAATTCATATGTTGAAAGCTAATCCCCAAAGTGATGTTAGTTATGATGTAAGAATTTCGGGAGGTGATTAGGTCACGAGGGGGGAGTCCTCAATATAGTTAGTGCCATTGTAAGGCACCTCCCAGAGCTCCCTCGCCCCTTCCACTATGTGAAGACACAGTGAGATGATGTTCATCCTCAAACCAGGAAGCAGGCTCTCACCAGATGCAGCATCTTAGAATTCCCAGCCTCCGCACAGAAAGAAATAAATTTCCGTTGTATATAAGCCATTGAGTCTATGGTAATTCATTAGTGCAACTTGGATAGCTGAAGATAGAGGAACGGACTGAGGGCTCATCCAGCTCACATTCTAAGAAATCATTCATCTGCTGGCAAGAGAATTCATGTGTTTAATTCAAAAATTATGCACATCCGAACTGGCTTTCCGAAAGTAAACTCTGGAGTTTATGCTGCTTTCCATTCCTTGTCATCCTTGCCGCTGACCTTCTTGGTAACTTGCCACTCTTGCAACTTTCCAAATGGTCATTATTAGTTTATTTTTTCCTCCCAGTGAGAAAAATAAGAGCAACATTAACCTGTACACGTACACACAGATGTTCCTACTGCCACACGTTCACGAGGAAACTGCAATGCACCTTGTCGAACTGTTGACTAACTAGGCACTTTATAAATACAAAGATGAAAATTAATGTCAGACTTACTGCTTTTTCCTGTATTTGCTGGCAAGTGATCTGTTTCTAGTTTTTCTCTAGTGATCTGTTTTCCTACTGTCTCAAGTATCAAAAGGTGCAGATTCTATTTTTTAAAACTAAGAATGCCAGGGTGCTTTACTCCGCAATGCGACCATCATGACTACATACAAGATGATGTTGTGCTTGCTGGAGCCCAGCTGGGCAGAAGCGAGGATCGCCCAGCATCTAGCAGGGGCTCACCTAAGCACAAGGACCTGGTAACACGGGAGATAAGAATATTACTTTACACATCCTGGGAAAGTCTCATGCCTGAAACAAAGCTTGAACATTACCAGGCAGATATCAGCTGACCCATCTGGTCCTGGCCAAAGGAACCTCTCAATAATTTTTTAAGAAGCGAACAGTAATCTATCGATTCTTTTCCCAGGTGCCAATGGAATGTTTTAATTTTACCATCTATCATCTGTAAATGACTTGTGTACAAAAAACTCAAAGGTTGTGTTTTGGTGATGGTACCATAATTGTTTCTGATAGCCGAGGCTCACAAATCTGGGCTGTGTTCTGTCTAAAGATCAGTAGACCCACAACCTGCTCAGCAGGGTATATTATTGAAGGTGCAGTTATTTCACTTCACTCAACTTACATGGGGACCCTTGATGACTTGTGCATTAGAATACTCCATGAACATTTAATCACACAGGGCAAGTCAGCATACATAATAAAAACACTTCAAGTTGCACATACCCTAAATTTTCATAAATCAAAGAAGTCAACAACTAAGTTCCCACCACTGAATCCTATTCAGCAAAGGATACTGCAGGCCTGAGGCCACGGCGCTGGTGCGATAACCTCCCAGACGCTGCCCACTCTCAGAGCAGTGCCAGGCGAACTGCTTGTCCTGTCCCGTGCTCAGCACCCACTCCAGCTCCAGCACAAACAGGACCATCGTCACTCTGCTTTGATGCGCTGAAAACCAAGAGACAGAAACACAATCTATAAAGTGAGCATCCTCAGGGAAACTGGAAAGTACAGCCTAAACAGATGTGTGCTCCTCTTCTATCCTGGAAAGGACGACACTGTGGGCTGTCGGGGACAGGACGGAACCCTGGCTCTCATCATGGCTGAGGGTTTGCCCACGCAGACAGTTCTACCCGAGTTTTTATGTGAGTTTTTTAAAAAAATGATCTATCGCTTCCCAATGTGTCCTACTTGTGCCAATCCAAGAACTACTGCCTGACAGAACACTAAAATCAAATACTTAGAAAGGACACAATGATGAAAAGAGAATAAAATATTCCTTATGTCAAGGTATGTAGTATATAATACATACCTTATGTGTCATTATTTATATAATGAAAGCATATTTCCTACAGTTGTTCATATACAAGAGTTCTTGCATTACACAATTTTAGAGCTCAAAGAGACTACGCCCTCTAGCTTATCTTGCTTTTTTTGTCTGGGCAAAGTAAGGCACAATGTAGGTAAGTAATTTGGCCATGGTCCCATGTTTCTATCAAATGAAACCAGCTAAGAGGATATTTGCTTTCTTATTATTATATAGTTCTAGGCAGTGCAGTTATGGCGTCTGTGGTCACTGAATATAGCTGACTGGAATGAACAGACGGACACCTTTCCACTTGGGTAGCAGTCGGGTGGGGCAGAGGCACACTCATGAGTATGCTAAGATGGCAGAGAAGACACAGATTTCCCATGCTGATCACCAAGCAGAGTCAGTAGAGCAGTACAGCAAGCCAATGGTACATGTGCCATAGCCGGCTGTTTATTATCAAGGGAAACTCTAGCAGGGTCAGCATCACTGGTACAGAGGGATAAATGCAGCGACACTGACAATAATACCATCTGCCAATTTCTGAGTGTCTATCAAGTACCAGGTAATAAAATGCACCCTCTCTCTCAACTGTAATGACCCCGCAAAGTGGGTGATTTCTGATTTTACAGCAAAGCTGACTTTAGCAAGCTGGCTTTTTATACCAGCTGCCACACAATATAGTCGGAACCACAGTGAATACCCACAGGAGCAGACATTTCAACAAATGCCTCATGTTTTAAAGTCTAATATTTGAAGCATGGAGAATACAAGGGGATAAGGATGCAATAATATCATGACTTCTCCACAATATGCCTTTCAAGGAACTGGCTACCACCATGATCAAAACGTAGTCTTTAAAAGACATGATATTTTGGACAAACGTCTTAAGATCATTTCATGTGTGTGTCATACATGTTCAAGTGCCATCAGCAATGTAACCAAAAGTGAACCCTCTAAGGGTCCAAGGGCATCCAAGTCTATTTCAAGTAGAAAGTGGCACCTAGCAGCTCACTCTTTCTCCTAATGGGTCTTTCGGCCTTTTGTCTGTTGCTTTCTAAGTCCAAGGGGATGACAGCAACTCTAAAAGATAAGAAGGTTTAGCCCTGAGTGGTATTCAAGTGGCGGAGGAGGTAGAGGCTAGAAATGGTAAGGGGCTTGCATGGTGTGTCAAAGGGAGGATCACACCTGAGGCTGGTGGGGGAACCAGCCTCAAATACTCAAAGCACAGCTCTTACTAAAGTGACAGAATTCTTATATTAAAAAAAAAAAATCCTTCAAAAGTAATGCTTATCACTAAGCTTCAGAAATTCATGTAACATGGGCTTGATGTTGGGCTTCCCGAATGTCTGTAGGGAGGAGGAAATCATTGCCTTCTTTGATCCTGATCTTAGGTAAGACATGTTTGTTTCCTCACCATGAAGTATGATGTTAGATGTAGAACTTTTTTCTGAGACAGAGTCTTTGTAGTTCAGGCTGGCCTTGAACTCACTAAGTAGCCCAGGCCGGCCTCAAACTCATGGTGACCCTCCTGTCTCAGTCTTCAAAGTGCTGAGATTACAGTCATGCACTACCACACTTGGTTCACCTATAGGACTTTGTAGATTTTTTAAAAAATCAAACTGAAGCAGTTTCTCTCTGTTCCTAGTTTGCTGAGTTTTTATTACAAATTGGATTTTATCAAATGCTTTTTTTTTTACATTGATATATGAATCTTCTTCCTTAGTTTCTGTGACAGTTAACTGATTGCATCAATTTGAGCAAGAAATGTTCAACTACATTGGCTCAGCGTAGCTCTGGGGGTGGAAGACCCCTCCTAGGGAGGACTGTCTCCAAAACGGTATAAAACGGAAATGAAAAAAAAAAGAAGGCTTGCTGCTGTTTCTTCAGAGGCGCTCCAGTCTTCACCTTCACCTTGGCCGTCACCTCCTGGCTTCCACTGCAGACTCTTCAGCTTCCGGCACAGATCTTTTGGGTGCCAACAGGGACTTGCACAGGACACTGCAGTGGGCCCCAGGGCTTTTGACTGGACCCTCTGTATTTGCAACTCACAGACAGCCTTTTTCACTTACATCTGATTCTGTGGGCAGCCATTAAAATTTTTACGTATTTCTATATCTTGCACTAAATCTGTCTCTAGTAAGCACTGACTGACAGCCTGTTAGTTTTGAATATTGATACAGGTTATCTAGCTGGTATAAATCTCGTTTGATCATGCTGTGTAATTCTTTTTGTACTATGTTGGATTTGGTTTGGTAGTTTTTTGTTTTCTGTTTTTTGAGGCTATTGTGTCCATTTTTTGTTGTTGTTGTTTGTTTTTTTTTCCAGTACCGGGAATCGAACTCACGACCTTGCGCTTGCCAGGCAGGCACTGTGCCGCTGAGCTAAATCCCCAGCCCCTGTTGTGTCCATTTTTATGAGAGACACTGGTCTATAGTTTTCCTTTCTTGTAACATCTTTGGTTTCGGCATCACTGATTTTTTTTTTCTGAGATAAAATCCACGTAACACAAAATTGACCACTTTAATAATTTTAGAGTGTGTAATTCAGTGGCTTGAAGTATTTACAGTGTTTCACAATCATCATCACCATCCATTTCCAGAACATTTCCATCACCTCAAAATGACGGCCAATAACCCCAACCCTCCCTCCTCCATTCCTAGTCCTCATCCAAGGAATCTCCGATTTCTGACATTTCATGTAAATGCAGTCGTGCCATCTGTGGCCTTTTTGGTCTAGCTTTTTTCACCTCAGCATGTTTTCAAGATTAACCCACGCTGGAACCTGCATTAGAACTTCATTCCTTTTTTTATGGACAAATAAGTAAGTAAATATATCTTAGGCTATTCTGAATAATGTTACTAAGAATGAGGAGAAGCTTTTGTGTATGTAGTTGTAATTCCCTTAGGTACATTATCAGGAGCAGCAACGCTGTGTCACAAATGAGCTACGTTTAACTCTGAGGAACTGACAAACTTTGCATTCTCACCATCAGTGGATGAAGGTTCTAGTTTCTCTATTTTCTTGTCAACAGTGCTATATTTTTAAGGAATTAATGCTTCCTAAACCATTTAGAATGGAACAAGGGAATTAATATTACAAGAATTAATATTTATTGAACCCTCCAACTATGTTTCAGGTACAGAACTAAGCAAAATTTACAGATGTAATCTCTTAAAAATACTTTAATGTGATAAAATATACCTAAGATTTACATTTTCACTGTACTGAAGTATAAAATACTATACTACAGCATTAAGGATATTCACACTGTTGGGTAACAATCACTACTACCACTCTCTAGCATTTTCACGTCTTCCCAAGCACAAATTTTGAACCCACAAATTGCTAATTCCTAATTTCCCTTTTCCTCCAGCCCTTGACAGTCATCATTCTATCTTTGTTTCTATGAACATGACTACACCGCATATGCGTACTTAGCCTTCTGTGAGTGGCAATTTTGTGACTGGCATAATTAATCTTCAAGTGTAGCCATATTGTAGAATGCGTCTGAATTTCTTTCTTCTTTAAGGTAGAATAATATTCTATTGTATGCATATACCTCATTGTGTTTATCATCTGTCAAAGGACATTTAGGTTGTTTACATCTTGTGGGGACTATGAATAATGCTCCTATAAATATCAGTATACAAATACCGCTTGAGGATATTTTCATTTATCTTGAGAATGCACCACTAATTTTTTTATTTTAAGAGAAAATAAAACAAATTTCAAAACAAAATAGGAGGATAACAATGGTTAATACACTGAATGTGGTTATCTTTAAATTAGTTACTCAGTGTACAAGGTATCAGCATTTAACTATCCAAGCAGTATTAGCATAAACCTTCCTTTTCAACAAACTAAGAGAATTTAGTAGTATATCTACGTGATGTGTGTACATATATATATATTTTTCTTTTCCCTTCCTTCTTTTTTCCATTCCCTCATCCCAGCTTCTCTTTCCTTTTGAAGTTGCTTCTCATATTACAATATCTACTGTACATTTTGGACCTTATTTACTCTTTCAGCTTCTCACACTAGGGAGACCATGTGATGTTTATACATGTGTGTCTGGTTTATTCCGCTTATGAGTATGATCTTGAGTTGTATCCACTTACCTATAAAAGTCTCCAGTTTATCCTTGGCTGATGGGCACTTGGGTTGTTTCCAAGATCTAGCTATTACAAATTGTGCTGCATACATGGGTATACATATATCACTACACTAATTAATTTTTGAATGTTAATCCAACAATGCATTTCTGTGATGAACCTCATTTAATTATAATGTATTATCTTTTTCAAATACTGCTGGACTTGATTTACTGTAATTTTCTTTGGATTTCTACATTTATTTTCATGAGGAATGGTAGCATATACTTTTTTATATTATTTCTGTATAAAATTAGTACAGTATCAAGAAATGCTGATTTCATAGAATGGATTGGGAAATCCTTTATTCAATTTCTAAAAGAACTTGTATAGAGTTGGTATTGTTTCTTCTTGAATGTTCCTTAAGATTTACCAGAAAGCTTTCTGGGCCTGAAGATTTCCTTGTTTCAACTTCTTTAATATACATACATCTATCAAGATTATCTATTTCTTCTTGAGTGACTGGATAGAGCTTATGTCTTTGA